GGAGGTGTTGATGCCTCAAGCTTTGTTGTTTTGCTCAAGTTTGCTTTAGCTATTCAGGGTTTTTTGTGTTTGATTGGGGAATTTAAGCCTTTTACATTAAGAGTTGTTATTGAAAAGTGTTGATTTATTCCTAGCATTTTATTGGTTGTTTGGTTGTCTTAGGTGTCTTTTGTTCCTTGCTTTCTGATTTACTGTTTGTTTTCTGTGTTTGTTGGTTCCTTAGGTTGTAGATAGTGTTTTTGCTTGTTTGTTTTCTCTTCATGAATGCCATTTTTATTATACTAGTTTGTTTTGATTTTTCTTGGGTTTTTATGGCAGTGGTAGTTATTTTTCAGGAACCAAACCCAGTACTCCCTTGAGAATTTCTTGTAAGGGTGGTCATGTTGTGGTGAACTTCCGCAGCATTTGTTTGTCTGAGAAATATACTATTTGCCCTTCATTTCGGAAGGACAGCCTTGCAGGGTAGAGTATTCTTGGCTGACAATCTCTGTCTTTTAGTATTTTGAAAATATCATACCATTCCTTTCTGGCTTTTAGGGTTTGTCACGAAAAGTCTTATGTTAGCCTGATTGGGGCTCCATTATAGGTGATTTGATGCTTCTCTCTTGCCGCTTTTAAGATTCTCTCTTTGTCTTTGAGTTTTGCCAATTTGACTATAACATGTCTTGGAGAAGACCTTTTTGGGTTGAATATGTTTGGAGATCGTTGAGCTTCCTGGATCGGTTGAATATGTTTGGAGATCGTTGAGCTTCCTGGATCGGTTGAATATGTTTGGAGATCGTTGAGCTTCCTGGATCGGTTGAATATGTTTGGAGATCGTTGAGCTTCCTGGATCGGTTGAATATGTTTGGAGATCGTTGAGCTTCCTGGATCGGTTGAATATGTTTGGAGATCGTTGAGCTTCCTGGATCGGTTGAATATGTTTGGAGATCGTTGAGCTTCCTGGATCGGTTGAATATGTTTGGAGATCGTTGAGCTTCCTGGATCATTCCTTGTCAGTCATTTCAAGGGCTTCTTGTTCTATAGGATCTAGAGCTTGAGATTTATTAACTTTTTATGGTGTACTTTCTTGATTTTTTGTATTTCTGGTATCTTTTTTTTTATGTTTATTCATTGTGGCAGGGGGTTTCACAGTCCACAGGTTTGACACTATTGACTAACTAAGATGTTTCTGTGGTTGCCAATTTGGTATGGCTACCTCCGTGACTGCTCAGTTGGCCACTAGTGCCTTGTGTGTGTGGTTGCCTCGGATCTTGGGCCTCTCTGGAGAGCCACCTCTCTGGTCAGCTTGGACTCTGCCAGGCTGCTGGATCACAGGGCGGTACCGCAGGGTGTGTGGTCTCTGCTGAGCTTCCCCTTCCCCTACAGGATGTCTCTCTGCTCTGTGCGCACTAGGCCAGGCTTGGGATGGAGCTGGGTGGTGGCAGTGAAGCCTACTTGCTGCTGGACCACATGGCGGTGGCCCCCCAACAGCGTGTGTGGACTCTACGGAGCTTCTATCTCCCTTGCTGGATGTCTCTGTGCTCCGTACGCATTGGGCCAGGCTGTTGGATCGTGTGGCAGCAGTGTGGTCCCCGTAGAGTTCCCGTCTCCCCTGCCTGATGTCTCCCTTCTCTGAGTGCACTAGGAGGGGCTGGGAATGGAGCCGGGTGCCTGCGGTGAAGCCTACCTGCTGGATCACACAGTGGCAGCCCCACAGGCTGTGTGGTTTCTACTGAGTCTCCGCCTCCCTTGCTGGACGTCTCCCCACTCTGTGCGCACTGGGCTGGGCAGGGAATGGAGCCAAGTGGCGGCAGTGAAGCCTCCCTGCTGGATCACACAGTGGTGGCCCCACAGGGTGTGTGGTTTCTGCCGAGCCTCTGCCTCCCTTGCCGGACATCTCCCTACTCTGTGCACATGGGGCTGTGCTGAGAATGGAGCTGGGTGGTGGCAGTGAAGCCTATGTGCCGGATCGTGCGATGGCGACCCCGCAAGGCATGTGGTCTTCATGGAGCTTCTGCCTCCCCCGCTGGACATCTCCCCATTCCATATGCACTTGTTATTATGTTATTATAGTTTAAATCAGTTGATTTGTGGGAGAGAGTGATGCTAGGGACCATCTATTCCACCATCTTGTCCAGAAGTCTCAGGGTCTTTTGTGAATCCACACAAATCTTAAGATTGTTTTTTCTATGTCTGGGGAAAATCCCATTGAAATTCTGATACAGTGAATCCATAATCACTTTAGACAGTATGGACATTTCAACAATATAAATCCTTCCAATCCATGGACATGGACTGTCCTTTCATTCGTGTCTTCAATTTCTTTCATCAGTGTTATAGTTTTCAGTGTGCAGATCTTTCTCCTCCTTGGTTGTTGGTGGGGAATGTAAATTAGTACGGCCATTATGGAAAATGGTATGGAGGCTCCTCAAAAGACTAGAAATAGAACTACTATATGATCTAGCAATCCCACTTCTGGGTATATGTTAAAAAGTAAATAAAATGGCTCTCTTGACAAGATATCTGCACTTTCATGTTTATTGCTGCATTTTTTACAATAACCAAGATATGGAAACAACCTAAGTGTCCATTGATAGATGGGTAAAGAAAATGTGCATGTGCGCACACACACACTCACACACACACACAACAGAATACTATTCAGCCTAAAAAAAGAAGGAAGTCCTGCCATTTGCAACAACATGGATAAATCTGAAGGACATTATGCTAAGTGAAATAAGCCAGACACAGAAAGACAGATACTGCGTGATTTCATTTATATGTGCAATCTAAAAAAATAAAGAAGTTGAACACATAGTAACAGAAATTATGACAGTGGTTATCAAGGGCTAGGGGATGGAAGAAAAGGGGAGATATTGATCAAAGGGTACAAACTTTCAGTTATAAGCGGAATAAGTTCTGGAGACCTAAAGCACAACGTGGGTACCACAGTTAATAATAATGTATCTTTTACTTGAAATTTGCTAAGAGAGTAGATCTCAAGTGTTCTCACCAAAAAAAAAAAAAAAAAAAAAAAAAAAAAAAAACTGTAACTATGTGAGCTGATGGATATGTCAATTAGCTTGATTATGGTAATCATTTTGCATTGTATACACATATCAAAATATTACGTTGTGCACCTTAAATATGTATAATTTTTATTTGTTAGTCATACCTCAGTAAAGTTGGGGAGGGAGAGAAAGTAGATTAAACACTTATGAAGCTGTGGTATATCCCGAATGTCTAAAGTACATGTTTTTTTATTTCTTTGAGGCAACTTCTTGTGTGTTTGCTTTTAAGTCTCTCTGGAGTGCTTCTGGTGCAGCCACAGTTTCTTGGACTTGAAGGTCGGGGGTGGGTCTTGTCGGAGCTGGTACAGGGCATCTGTGTGAAACTGGTAAGAATCAGGCTGGGGAGACTCAGGCTGAAGTTAGACTGTCACAGTTTGAATCTCCCTCCCTAAATAGGTAAACGCAGTTAATGTCTGTGGCTTAATTTCCTCATCTGCAAGGTTAGAATGATAATAGATTGTCATACGCTAAATGGTATGAAATCGACAATATGCTTAGAGCCTAGCAATTGTACATTCCCATTTCGTGTAAATTGTGCATGTTATGGTCATCATCTTCCTGCCTTTCTTCTCCCTTCTTCCTATAGTTATATGACTTTCTCCAGTCTCCAGTTCGCAGCAATCTCAGGGAAGTCTGCAGGGTTTTGTGTTTTCTAAGACATGATAATAATACAGTAGGGAGCCTGTTTTTGACAGTAGGCTACAAAGGTTTGAGAGTCTCTGGTGATCTGTCATATTAACTTACTACCAACGCTCTCAGGTGCTAACAGTTTGTAATTGACTGTCCTTTGCAGAGCTAAAGAGGAAGGGGAATAGTATTGTTTCATAGTATGGTACCTGGGATAAAGCAGAATTTTTTTTTTTTTTTCAAATAAGCTTTGAATGAGGCAGGAATCTTTTTGTGTATATAACCATGCTAGAAAGTGACCACCTAAGACAGCATCTTTCAAATCTTTCCTACCACAATTCACCATAAGAAATATTTTATATCAGATCAAGTTCACACATGTACACACCCTCAAAACGGAAATAGTTTCACAAATCAATACATACTCTTGCTACTACCCACAATGCCATATTCTCCATTCCACTCAATTTGGTGAATTGTCATTCATGTCATCCCAGTTCATTCCCTTCCATTCTGTGTAAAAAGACCAGCAGTTTGAAAAATACTCACCTAAGAGATCAAGGGACCTAAGCAAGAATGGGGATGCAACTAAGAAGAATGAAGTGGGATATTCTTCAGATCCACATTTTTAATATTTTCTCAATAATCATTTCTATTGGGGCCAGCCCGGTGGCACACTGCTACAGTGCGCCGCTTGAGAGTGTGGTGGCGCTCCCGCCGAGGGTTCGGATCCCACATACAGACCGGTTCCCGCTCACTGGCTGAGCGAGGCGCGGGAGCAACGCCAAGGGTTGAGATCCCATTGCCGGTCCTGGTCCGGTACGGGCGCAACACTGAGGGTTGCGATCTGTTGCCGGACATGGAAAAAGACAAAAAGGAAAAAAAAAATAATAATCATTACTATCTTGTATCCCTAGACAAAACAAAAACATAATTGTTCTTTCCAAAGAAAAAGCAACTTGTTATTTAGCTCTTACTGAACTTTTTTGAAAGCATAATTTGACCTTTTTAGATTTGCAGTCATTTCTATTTCAGCAGAGGTGTGGACTAGAGTGTGAGTTCAGTGCAACTGAGAAACATGTGTCTGCCCTGGCACTGTCATTACTAACAGGTTCCCTTGTCTTCTCCGATCCTTAACCCCTTCATCTGTACGAGGGGTATAATATTTGTTCCCCCACAGGGTTCTTTGAGGGCCAGCTGGAAGAACATATTTGAAATTTCGAATTTAAACTGAAATGCTCTTTACGAATTTGAAGAATATCGAACTGTTAAGAGTCTACATTTGTAGCCTTTCCCTTCTTTTAAAAAAATTCCTTCTAGGTTTCTCAGTTGAATACACTGATTACACTTTTGCTGGGAGAACTTCCACCTGGAAACAGGCAGAAGATCATGACAATTTGTACCATTGATGTCCACGCCAGAGATGTGGTGGCAAAACTCATTTCTCAGAAGGCAAGTTGTTCGTAGAAATTTTATGTATTCTTGCTTCCTGAAAGGTATGTTTATTGTCAGAGTAGGCCCAAGAAAGTCATTGTTTTTTAAATTTTTGTGTATTTTAATTAGTCCTGAGAAGTTGTGGTTATTTGGGGTGCATTTCATTTGGGTTAGTTTGTATATTATCCTAATGAGAGTTATCTCAAGTGATAGAGAACCCAAAAGGTTTTGCCAAGTTAGTAGCCTCACATCATCCAGAAATTAACCCAGATGGAAGAAGCCTGAGAAGTCACGCCACACCCTCCTCCCTGTCTTCTGGCTTCTCTGTGTGGAATCATCTTGGGTCATTGGCCTGAGTCTCACCTCTGTGACTTACACAACCAGTAGCAACCAGAATGGCATTTAAACCATCTCTGTGTGCTTTGGGTCTATTTTCCCTTGAAGAAAGAAATGTTGGTCACAATTTTGGGTTGTTGCTTGAGTCATCCCTGTCTTTTCCTTTCAGGGCTAAATAACTCACTTTCTTGTAAGACATTATTTTCTAGTCTTTTCAGTGTATTAATAACTTTCTTTCCCTATCTCTTTAAATAGTTTATGTGCCTCTTAGATGCTGTCAGTGTTTAATGTGAAAGGAGAATTTTCTCATCTTTTTTTCCAAAATGTATTTCCACTTATGAATGTCAGAAGTGTGCTTGTCCATTGCCACATCATGTCATCACCTGTTCCCTGCAAACCCCTTTTCTGGGGGTGGTAGCACTAAAGCAAGATGGTTCCTTTCACAATCTGAATGCATGGGTCTATGAATATTGTGAAATGTTTTCTGTTGTTTTTTTACTTTTTCACAATTTCTTAAAATCAAAGTGAATTTTAATTCTCTCCATAAAGTGCAAGAAAATGCATCTTTGTGTAAGTCATGAGCATAACTAAATATTTCTTATCTGGCTTCAGGACCATTAGTGAACAACGCTCTTTAATTGCTAATCCAAGACTAAATTCTTGCAAATCACCTCTTACTATGTGTTCTCATTTTGGTAATGAGCTATTGAAAACTACTCCTTGAATATGACCTTCACCTTATATATTTTATTCTGTTTCTGCAGTCTGGCGATTTGCTTGCAGCAGGATAAATTATGATTTAGGATGTCCTTTATTTTGTGCTAAAAGAGATACTTCGTCTAATTCTCAAGCATCTAAAATATGCAATGCTGAAATCTAAACAGTCATCAGGCAAATTAGTAGACAATAATTTTAGTAACTTCAAGTGATTCCCAAGAAACCATGGGGTCACATATACCTTGAAAGAGATAGAGAATTTTTTTCAAACTGGAAGAGGCATAGATTGGATTGAGTATTATGGGAAAGAATAGCAATGGAAAAATACTGGTATTTGATGTGATGAAAAATGATGTGGAAAATCTCTGTACTGAAAGCAGACTGGTTTTAGAATGAACTTGGTTGAAAGTGTAGTTTATTTATACCTCCAACATGCAGAAATTATGGATTATATGTCATTTTAATACAGTGTATATTTTTCCATCTGACTTCATGATATGAGTATAAAGTTACAAAAATTATCTAATCCCCTAGGGAGATTCATAAAAGGGGAAAAAGCATTGCTTGAACAAATTGATATTATTTTACATAAAAGCCAGTTTAAAATGAAGACTTTTTTTTTTTTTTCCTTTTTGTCTTTTTTCGTGACTGGCAGCGGATCGCAACCCTCAGTGTTGCGCCCGTACCGGGCCGGGACCGGCAACGGGATCGCAACCCTCAGTGTTGCGCCCGCACCTTGCTCAGCCAGTGAGTGGCCGGTCTGTATGTGGGATCCGAACCCTCGGCGGGAGCGCCGCCGCGCTCCCAAGCGGCGCACTGTAGCAGTGTGCCACCGGGCCGGCCCTAAAATGAAGACTTTTATTACATACATATTTCTGATTAAGTACTCAACCATCTATATGCAATTACAATTTGCAGTAGTGTGCAAGAGATTTCCTATTTGTGAGAATTTTAGAAATAACATGTGAACCAATAGAGTTGATTAAGATAAATAAATTGAATTTGTTGCCTCAAAACTATCAGTGTCTTATGTGTAATGACTATGCAATGATTTCAGGTTGTTAGTCCCCAAGCTTTTGCTTGGCTCTCTCAACTTCGTCACCAGTGGGAGGACACCCAGAAACACTGCTTTGTTAATATTTGCGATGCCCAGTTCCAGTACTTCTACGAATACTTAGGAAACAGTCCTCGACTGGTGATCACACCTCTAACTGACAGGTAACTATTGTAAGTTTGAGTCAGATGGGAAAAACCAACCCAAAAAAGTCCCCTAGCATGGGCAAAGATGCATGAGAATGAAAATAAAGGGATGAGAGAAAATGATAAATTGGAAGACTATATGAAAGCAATTTATAAATTAACAAATTATGTAGGATAGTGAATGCTGACTTTAGTTAGAGACAAGTTATAAAGAACTGAACTAGAGAAACAGGATTGCAGAAGCTCTGCAATGCACAAATGACAAAATCATGAGTGGGCTGGTAGGGCTCAAGGCAGCATCTCTGATCACTGAGCTCATCCCTCCAGTTATCTACCACTAACATCCTGCTATCAGGATCTGTCAACACCCCCAACCCCCACATCCCTTTATTGGAAGTGGGAAAAAAACTAGGGCTGCCTGTGTTCAAATTCGTTTTTGAAGAATTGCACACAGTGAAGGTGAGAGAAGAGGGAGAACGTGAGCTTCATTAAACGATTCAACAAATACTTAGGAAGTGCTGTGTGAAGTACTGTTCCAGTGCTGAATGGATGGGGTTCCTGCTGTCTAGTTGAGTGGAATGTGTGAGTGGGTGGGGGTGAACAGGACCAGTAAACTAATTAATTAACAAAGTTGTTTTAGGTGGTGGTATATGCTATGACAAAAAATAAAAACAGGGTGATGTGTTAAATGTCTTGAAGGGAGTGTCTACTGTAGATTGGAAGAGAGGAGATTTGTAGCTTGGATCAAAATAATGAGGAACCAGCTACACGCAGATCCTGGGGCAGAAAGTTATAGGTAAAGGCAAGTACAGAGTTTCCAAGGGGAGGAGGAGCTTGGACAGTCCAAGGGATAGAAAATAAGCCAGTGTGGCTTGAGTATATCAAGGGGGCAAGAGGTGACTATTTTTAAAAACTCACTGCCACTTGACTCCAAGTAAATACACAGTCAGAATGTTGTAGAAGTAAGGATATTCACATTGATATGAAGTTCTTTGTTAGTATTCCAACCTGTGCTGACTTATTTGGTAAGAAAGCACATTTAATCTTGGCAATACATGAAAGAGAAATCACACCTCAAAATCATAGCAGGGCCCCTGATTACCCCTTGTCACCAAAGTGTGAACAGTTTCAAATTTAAGCTTATAAAGCCAGGTTGTTAATGGTAGTCTTGAGAAGTTGGTGGGATTGTCTGACTAGCTTCGTAATTGTTCTTGCCCATATTAATCTGCTCATGATTTCATCATGTGTATATTGTACTGCTTCCTATTTCCTGTTTGTCTAGTTCAGTTCTCTGTAACTTGTTTCTAACTGAAGTCATCATTTACCGTCTTCATTAGTTATTTAATTTATGTACTACTTTTGGTGTGAAGGGTTAAAATTTGTAGCTTGACAAAAATCACTTGAGTATAGTTAAAACTGCAAATGCTAAGCATCTGCTGTATGCACAGCTTGGTGAATAGGAAGAGGGGAAGGGGCCCCAGAGTACGGAGAAAAAGGGAAGAGGTGTTTTAAAGTTTATCAGTGTGTGAGGACTGATAGCTTATTAATGTTTTATTTTAAGAAAAATCACTATGTGGTTTATTTGGAAGGTAAAAGGAAGATGAGTGGTCATTTTGATAGTATGAATAGTGTTGGATAAGATGTTCACATAGTGCATATTTCTTTTCTATTTCATTCTTTGGATTATTTACTAATTGTTTACCTTAACAAAATGAGGCCTTTCAAACACTTTCATTATGTGTCATTTGATGCTGACCATTCTCTTGTGTGGTGGTAGTGGCGGATAGTGTCTCCTTTCATGTGTGGACAGCTTCAGAGACTGGGTCCCACCTCCTTGTAGCTGACAGACTTGTGCTGGAACACAGGGGAATTGGTCAGGATGATGCAGGCTAAGCTGCTGTTCTAGAGAGACCCTGAAATACAATGGCTTAGCTAACACAGAAGCTGAGGTCTCACTTGTGTAACAGCCCAGAGGTGAGCGGGCCAGCAGTGTAGGCTGCTAAACATAGCATCCACGTTTGTTTCAGCCAGTGGAAAAGGGCAAGAAGAGAGCCCAGGTCAAATATCTCTAGGAAGGTGTCCTAGGAATGGCACATGTCGTTTCTGTGCATGCCACATTGGTTGGAGTGTGGTCACTTGGCCACTCTTGGCTGGAAGGCAGATGGAAAACATAGTCTGTAGGTATAGGTGGCCATGTATCTAGCCAAAACATGGAACAACCAAAAGAAATTACAAGGACATACCTTCTACTACAAAGAAAGTGCTCTAATTCCAGGCCCAGGAGTCTTTCTACTACATTTCATTGTAAGCTGCTCTTAAACGTGTGATGTATAAAATGTATAAAAACACTTTCCATTTTCATAAGTAATTGCTTTTATTTGCATGTTACTTAAATTTTTGAAGGCATTTATCTTTGGCTTTCTTCATATATCCCTACAATAAGCTTCCTTTTATAAAGGAGAAAACTGAGGTGTGTTGATGTCAAATGACTTATTTAAAATTTACCTCTGATGATCAGCAAGTAGACATTAGTGCCTGATCTCCTGACCTCCACGTATATGTGTTTTCACTAGATCCAATGTCTATACTAGGACAAACATAATTTATAAACCTGAAGAAACCCCAAACAAAGAATACCAGCCATTTGAGGTCCTTGACTTTGGTTAGTCTTTCCTTCCTTTACAGGTTTGCATGATTTTCCTCAGTCTAAGAACCTCTGAGTCTTTCCTGCAAAAATAAGTACTGTGGTAATCTAAATGCAGGTAGCAACACATTCAGAATGAATACCTAAAATGCATTTTAATATAATAAATTGTGGTTTTGTATATTTCCTTTATACGTTAAAATAGGTACATATTATTTGCATGTATGTGTTTATATAAATTTACATATCTTTTAATATATTCATTAAGTAACAGTTTAATGTAGTCAATGTTTAATTCACTCATCATCCAAGATTTCTATTTTTCTTTTATAAACAATAGATTGAAATGTTGTCTGCCATATTAATAGTATCTTTACCTAGAAATATCAGAAATTCAATAGCATTGAAAATCAATTGTTATTTGTATTCAAATACACAGCTCTTAGGAAATGAGACCAATAAATAAAGCAATACATTCTTTTCCAGTATTTTTAAACAGCCACTCTGAAAATAAATTTGACATGAAATATTCTGACTCATTATTGCCATGAACAAATCAGAAGTACATCAATATTTTGTGCTACTATCACATTCTAGACCTTGGCTTTCTAAATTTTTTTTTAATTGATTACCCCTAATGTTTTATAGAAATCTCATGTCAGACTCTGATATTTGTGTTTTCTTTTGCTTAAAGGTGTTATATCACTTTAACTCAATCACTGCATCTAACCATGAGCGGGGCTCCAGCTGGCCCAGCTGGTACAGGGAAAACAGAAACCACCAAAGACCTTGGACGCGCCCTTGGCATGATGGTTTTTGTATTCAATTGTTCAGAGCAAATGGACTACAAAGTAAGTTAGTTATACAATAATGTATCAAATGATATATTCTAACATTATTCCTCATCTGGAGTGATTCAGAATAATCGCTTAAAACCCACTTCTGTTAAATTCTGAATGCCTCCATCCATCCTTTAGTCCATAGGAAATATCTATAAGGGATTGGTGCAGACAGGAGCTTGGGGCTGCTTTGACGAGTTCAATCGAATTGCTGTGGAAGTTCTGTCGGTGGTGGCAGTACAAGTGAAGATGATTCACGATGCCATCAGAAACAAGAGAAAGAGGTGGGTGGCATGTGGCTTTTTCTCTTGTTACAAATGGAAAGAATAACATGAAATAATGCAGGTTACCTCACCTTCACAGCCCATTGCTACCTCTCCCTGCCTCATGAAATGGATAAAATGAGAGTCTAGTTTATTTGGAAGAATTATTTTGAAAGTCCTCTCATTTTTGTTAGTGGTTTTAAAGTGTTGGATACAACAAAGGTTTATTACATTACAATGTTGCCAAATCCGGTGATCAATTCTCGGTTCTCAACTTTGTTGACCTTCTGGCAGCATCGGCCCAGTCGGTCATTCCCTGCTGCATGACACACTTTCATCACATGAGATGCAGGACTCACCCGCTCCCTCTTTTCTATCACCTCACGGCTGCCCCAGTACTGGTTTCTTCTCGTCTCCACAATGGGGGAAAGAAGAGGACCTCCCTTAGAGAATACTGTGAAGTTCGACTGCAAAGCACTTGGATAAGTGTCTGGCACATAGGAAGTACCACATAGAGTATGTGCTGTTATTTTATACTGTTATTATTTCAGGACCTATTAATAAAAGATGTCACAGAGTTCAGTCTTTGGGCTTCTTCATTTCTCTATCAGTTTTTTCTCCCTTAGTGAGTTCATGCATATCCGTGGCTTTTAAAAACCATCTCTGTGCTGCTGACTACCTGATGCCCAAACTTCCTTTCCCCCCATCTCTAGACTGACATCAAAAACTGCCTGTTGAGGCAGCTCACGAGTCTACTTGATATCTCATGCACCTCTCACGTTTAATATTTCTAAAATCAAAATCCTGCTTTTTTCATCAACACCTGCTCTGTTAGTTAGTTGTCCCATCACATTAGGTTATGCCTTCACATTCTTCCAGTAACTCAGGCCAAAAGCTTTCAAAATATATCTGAAATCTAACCACTTCTACCATGATGCCACACTCCAAAAGGCAAAAATGCTACTGGCCCTTAGGGCTTGATGGTTTAATTTGAGAAATAAATGTTATAGTATACGGCACACTTCTGGCTCTCTTTGTAACTTTTTTTGTATGCAGTGCAACCTCATTTATCTGGCCTACCCATTTCTCCCATTTGTTAGGACATTTTGCTTGGCTAGCTCTCTCGTCTGCAGGAACATTTTCAATCTCCCTGTGGAAAGGGAAGGATTATCTAGCTCCTTGGAACTGTGAACCTGTTTTAGAAGTTTCCAGTTTATCAGTAGATTCATCTGGATGTTTCTACCTTCTAGAAAACCTCTCAGTCCTCACACCACATGGGCCTGGGACACCAGTTTCCTGTGTTCAGATGTCTGCTGCCTTACCTGCCCCTACTAATGCCATGCTAGAGAAGTTCTGTTCTTTCCTTTTTGATCCCTAGCCATATTTATTTAGCTTTTAGTTAAAATCTTACTATTTGCCCTAACCCAGATGTCATGTGAGGCCATCCTTTCTTATGGAGATTCGTGTAACCGATCCATGCAATGATTTCTGAAAATTCCCAGCCATACTTCTTGATAGTCTCCTCTGTCTCTGTGCTTGAGAGTTCTCTCTCTTCACCCTTAGGCTAGCCCACGTGCAGATAGCTAGGCTCCTTCTGAGTTTATTAATAAACCCCGTGAGTTTATTAAGTTCCCTTTGCACTTGAGGATTTGAGAGCTGGTTCCATGCCTCAGCCACAAAGCCTTCTAGCATCTTGCTGGCTTTACCCCCTGCAGGTCCATACATTTGACTTGTGGCCGTCCCTGCTATGTATAATGGGAGAATAGTCAGTTATCCTGTGTCAATAGCCACCTGTCTTTCGGGGAGCAGCCCTGCCAGTCCACTGCCTGCCCTAGCCTGACATTCTGGGGAACGAAGGTATCTACATTTTCACCATGACTGTACAAAATCCACTCTTAATTACCTAGTGTTTAAGGTGCTGTTAGTCCTAAACATCATTCTGTATCTTTTCTCTCCTTATTCGGTGATATAAGCCCAGCTCCTCAACTACTTCAGCCATCCCCTTGTATTTAATCTCATTTACCCCAATTTGAACGTTTCATTCTACTTGTCTCTCAGTTTGGCTCCTGCAACCCCGTAGCATTCCATTGCCCTGGCCATCAACAGCCTATTGGGCCCTTGCAAATCTTTCTGAAAATCTTTCACTGCTTCTCCAGTGCCTTCAAGTGACAATAATAGCAGTAGTCATAGCTAACATCTGTTGAGTGTTTACTGTGTTCTCGGCATTGTACTCTTAGCTATTTATATTCGTAATCTTTTTTAAATCCTCATGTAATCCAATAAGGTGAGTAAGGGATAATTTTATTATCCCTTTTTTTATTAGATGAGGGGGTTGGAACATAGGATAATGAACATGCCTACGGTGTATAGCTGGGCTCTGAACACTCACAGTCTGGCTGCAGAGCTAGCTGCCATAACCAGCCCGCTATCCTACCTCTCAGTAGTACTCACTAGACACTTGTTGAGAGGAAGAGAGAAAAGGAAAGTAAGCAAATAGACAAAATAAAGACTGAACAGGGAGTCCCTTTTTCTTCTCAGCATGGACATTCTCTATCTATGCAGTATCTCATTTGAGAAATTGCTGTTCACATTGAAGGCAAAAATGCCATCCCTTTTCAGTAAATGTTAGTCAAGTCGTCCTGTTTATATTCTAGGAAACTGTGGCTATGCTAAGATAAAAAAAAATAATACTTCACATATTTGTAATTCCTCTGGGTGGAGGGAAGGTATTTTTAATAAACATGCTTCAAAACATATTCAAAATATGTATGCTTATGGATTTTAAAGAAAATTACACAGAATAAACAGCTTTGTAATAATAATTTGCATTTTGCAGTGGTTTGCATTTGTCAACGTGCATTCATATTCAATGAACGCATTTGACTTCATCCACATTCTTTTTATGGTAGATTTGTATTTCTTGGGGAAGCTATCACACTGAAGCCATCGGTTGGAATATTTATTACTATGAACCCAGGATATGCTGGTCGGACTGAATTACCGGAAAATCTCAAAGCTCTTTTCAGGCAAGTCTTTCGCTGAACAGCTTAGCATCTGGTACGCTCATGCCACCTAATGTTGTTAGTATGCACTGTCAAATGGTTTGTTTTTACTCAAGAATTCCTATGGATTTTTTGGGTTCACTTTACAAAGAGGGCTTTCACCATGATACATGAACCCTTTTGGTGAGAGCAAAACTGTGGTTCCTAGAGGCAGGAAAGGAGGTGGGGGGATCGTGAGAGGTTGGTTAATGGACACAAAACAGCTAAATAGGAAAAAAAAGTTCTATGGGTGTACAGTTGATCTAGACATCTGTAATTAACAATAGTTTACTGTGTGTTATCAAATAGCTAGAAGAGAGGAGATCAAATGTTTTCATCACAAAGAAGTTATTAAATTTTGTAATAACAAATATGCTAAATACCTTGATTTGGTCACCACACATTATATACACGTATTGACATTCAACTCTATGCCCCGCAAGTATGTTTAATTAATATGTTTCTATAAAAAACTTAATTAACCCTTTTTAATTATGAAGCCAGGCCTCAAAATCAGTATTTAAAGATTACATGGTATATTTGAATATTTAATATTAGCTTTTGTTATGATATTTGTATTATGAACATAATTTTTGCAAATTATAAAATATTTAGAAAGTATAGAAAAGAATAAAGAAAAAAATTACAGCATCACCACCCAGAAATAATGATTATTGTATTTTTTCTAGTCTCTTTTGTCATTTATATTTTATGGAGTTAAGATATTACAGTAGACATTTTTATTTACTTCTCTTTATTTAATATTTTGACATATATTATTAAAAATTCCTTTGAAATATCATTTTATGTAGCTTTAAAATAGTCCCTCTCATGGCTCACTCATAATTTTCTTAAACAGTCCCTATTGTCTGACACATAGGGTTTATTTTTCCCTTTTGGTTTTTCGTGATCATAAAATAGCGTGCTATAAATGTCTATTCATATAAAAAAAATATTCTTATTTCAGATTATTACCCCAGCATAGATTGCTAAATTTAGAATTCCTAAGTGAATGATTAAAATGACTATTGATGACCTGCTCTCCAAAAATAACCTACCAGTGTATACACTTAGCAGTCTGTAAAGGGACCTGTGCTACTACCTCTGGTACCAGTTATGATTAACTTGTATTTTAAATCAACTTTGTTCAGATATAATTTAACAATGGAATGCACCCACTTAAGTGTACAGTTGGTGACAACACTCCCACAATCAGGATACAGAATATTTCCAACACCCCCAGAAGTTCTCTTGTGCCTCTTTGAAGAATCCCCCATACTACTGATGTACTTTCTATGATTATAGATCGAATTTGTCCTTCCTAGGTTCATGTGAATGAAACCAGACAGTATGTACTCATTTGTGTCTGGCTTCCTTTTTTTGAACATTATGGTTTTGAGATTCATCCAAATCGTTGAGCATATAAGTAGTTTGTTCCTTCTTACCGCTGATTAGTATTCTGTTGTATAGACACAGTGCAGTTTGTTTATCCGTTCACCAGTTGATGGGCATTTGGGTTGTTTCCAGTTTGGGGCTATTATGAATAAAGCTGCTATGGACATTCATGTACTATCTTTGCATGAACATATGTTTTCTTTTGGGTAAATATCTAAGAATAGAATTGCTGGCTCACATGACAAATGTATGTTTCACATACAAGAGTGTACCGATCTGTTTCAATTGTACTGTTTGACACCCTCACCATCAATGTCTGGTAATTCCAGTTGTTCTACATTCTTGTCAGAACTTGATATTGTTAGTCTTGTTAATTTTTGCCAATCTAATAATTATGTAGTGGTGTGATATTGTGGGTTTAGTTTGCATTTCCATGATGGCTAATGATTTTGAACATCCTTTCACCTACTTACTGGCCATTCCTCTACCATCTTTTGTGAAGTGCCATATTCTACATACAATGTTTTGTTAGATACCTACATTGCACATATTTTTCTCTCAATTTGTGGCTTGCTTTTCCGTTTTCTTAATGGTGTTTATCAGGGACAGAAGTTTTAAATTTGGGGAAATATAATTTATCAGTTTGTTTTGGTTTTTTATATCCTATCCATGAGAGTTTGCCTACCCTGAGTTTGCAAAAACTTTCAATTGTTTTCTTCTACAAGTTTTGTTGTTTTATAGTTTTCATGTGGGTTTTCTTCTGTGTTCTGTTAGTGTGCTGAACTATATTGCTTGCTTTTCAATGGTAAACAGACCTTCAATGTTGCATTCCTGGGATAAACCCTACTTGGTCAGGAGGTATTATTTTTTATATGTATTGCTAAATTTAATATGCTACTGTTTTGTTAAGGATTCTTTTAAATCTATGCCATGAGGGATGTTTGTCTGCAGTGTCCTTTCTCGTAATATTTTTGTCTGGTTTTGGCATCAGAGTAATGCTGACATCATGAAATGAATTGGCAGGCGTTCCCTTCTCTATTTTCTTAAGAGTTAGTCCGGAATTGCTGTTATTTACTCCTTAAGTATTTAATAGAATTCATCAGTGAAGCCATCTGGACCTAGATTTTTCTTTATGGGAATCTTTTCAATAAATAACTCAGTTTCTTTAATAAATCTGGGTTTATTCAGATTTTTAATTTCTTCCTGAATTAATTTTGATAATTTACATCTTTTAAGGAATTTATCATGTTTTCTAGATGGTTGAATTTATTCATGTACATTTATTCATAACATACCTTTATTATCTGTAGTGATGTCCTGAATTGCATGCCTGACATGGGTAATTTGTGTCTTCTTTCTCTCTCTTTTTCCTTAATGATAAGCTAGAAGCTTAAGTTATATTTTTTAGTGGTTCTTTAGTGTTCACAATATGTATCTTTAGCTATTCAGTGTACTTTCAAAATAGTAATATGTTACTTCACATATATAGGCTGAGCATCCCTAATTCAAAATGCCCCCAAATCCGAAACGTTTTGAGTGCCGACATGATGTTCAAAGGAAATGCTCTTAGGAGCACTTTGGATTTGCAGATAAGAGATTGCTCAGCTTGTAACATAAGAGCCTCTGTAGTTTTTAGTGTCGCTTTTTAAATTCTTTTAAGCTTAAAATTTGTTTGTTCATACATCTAGATATATAACTATATTTCATTTGTAATTTCTTCTAATTTTTATATTATTACTTTTTAAATGTGATTCATCTAATGAGAACTTATTTTGGTAAATAATATGTAATGTGCATTTAAACAATTCTTTTCCCAATAGTTAATCAGTTATTCTAACATCGTATATTGAATGTTTTCCTTTCCTCATAATAACGGCTTTCTCTAGCATAGTAATTTTATAATGTTTATTTTTCTTAAATAAAAATTCTAGATAGTAACTATCCTAGAAGTAAATGTAATGATTACATAATAGTTTTGTTTGAAAATTGTACTCCTTTCCCGTATTTTTATGTTTGTGACCCAATTTATCTCATATATTTTTTCATTAAGGTCTTAAATTTTTTGCTTTTAGCATCCTACATTGCATGCAGTAATTGCTCAGTATAAATATTAATTGTCTATATTAATGTAAGTATAAAATAAGTAAATATGCTAGCTCTTCTCTCCCTTATCTACTCTTCCTCTTCACCTCTTCTGTCGTATGGTGAAGACTAGTAAGTGTAAGAAAAAATATGGGGTCAGCTTAGATAGGAGAGGTATTCAATATCTTAGAGCCAAAGAGACTTTGGGGAATGTTTAGGATGTGTATGAAGTAGACTATAATTATATTTACAAAAATAGGTGGGTAAATATTACTGGAATGTATACCTTACCAAAGTCTAAAATATTGAGCTTATGTATTTATTTACTCTTGCTCCTTTGCACTTGACTTCAGTTGAGTGTAATTTTTCCAAATGTTGCTGTTAATGGCAGCTGTCTTTGGGGGAAGGACTTTGTGGAAGTCCCCCTTCAAACAAAAGGGTATTTTAAGCTATGTTTTTCTAAATTTTCATATTAAGTCTATTCAAGTTGGTGTGCTAGAGATGGCTTGCACCAGTTTCGAGAAATTTTGTGAGCTGGTTATTAAGCGCTGCCACAAATAAAAACTAAATTATATCAACTTTTGATTAAATAAATTGTATTAAAACAAAGGTGATAAATACTCAAAATTCTTTACTTTATAATTATTTATTTTGCTAATAGTTGTGCTCTTGAGGTTATGTACGTCCCCTGTGTCTGTATGGTGGTGTGCTATACATCTCTTCCCAGCTCCACGTTTTAGTGTAGGTAGCAGCTGTGTTGAAACCAGCTGTGGTGGAAGAATGTACTCCATGGAAATCAGTAAATGCTGTTTTCTGGACAGCTGGTGTTGAACATTTACCAGCACACCTCTGGCACAAAACATCACTGTTCATTTTTCTGCAGTGATAGTTACACCAGAAGTTTACGGATTATATCCACAGATTTTCTTTAAACTCCCATATCCATCTTTCTGCTCGTTCAGACTTTCCACCTTTTCCTATGCGCTCAGTAACTAGTGGACATTTTTTAGTTAAGTGAAGGGTCTTGTTAGCTGTGATTGACAGAGATAATTGTGACCTGCTTGGGAACGGTTAGAATGTTGGTACAAATTAATCACTTGATTTCAGTAATTTGTACTTATTACCTTATCACATTTAAAACTAAATTTCATATTTACTTTTTAGACCCTGTGCCATGGTGGCCCCTGATGTTGAGCTAATCTGTGAAATTATGTTAGTTGCTGAAGGTTTTGTGGATGCACGCTCATTAGCCCGAAAGTTCATTACCTTGTACACACTCTGCAAGGAGCTCCTCTCCAAGCAGGTGAGGGATTTTGTATTATTTTTTGTGGTTTTCACATTCCATTAAAAAAGCTTTTGAAACATGGATGCTGGGTAATTTATTATTCAAATTATGCTTAGACATTAGGAATAATTTTGTATTTTCCATAGAATTTTGAAAATCTGTATTTTACATTTCTTAATTTCTTTCTGAAATTAAGTTCTAATTATTTATTTGTACTTAGTACAGTTTTTGTCAATGAGATATGTGATTTTCCTTAAACTGTATCGATGCTGTAATTATAAATCGAATTTTATGTTGTCTCCCTTTCCTGGTGGTCATAAGAGTCAGGTAAGGCTGATTTTCTGAAGAACAGCTCAAGAAATGTTGAAATAAAATAAAATATAAAAAATATGAAATAAAGATATATAAAAATAAAATAAAATATTTCTTATTTGTTGGTAATCCTTTATTTGAAGGTAGGGTTGGATTTATTTTTATCTTTTTATCTTTTGCTGTATTATTTCTTGTCTCTGAAATGAGTCAGATTTACACACTTTCTATTCTGTAGTCATAAGCTTCTTGCAGATTCATTGAAGTTGCTGATGTACACAAAAATTACATCTGTATCAGCATCAGTATATTTAAATTCAGCTTTGTGGTGGCCTTCAGCTTCTGGTCTTTTGATACCTTTCATTAATTTCTGGTGACATTCTGCAGCTGTTCCAGAATGAAAATATTAAAATACCAGAATTGCAATCACACAGTTACCTGTACTGGCAGATGTATTCATTTTAACTTACCCTTTGTTAGGGTGAGATACGAAATCTGAGAGACAAACTTATGTTGTCCTTTTAATAACTGTGAATTTACATTTTGGGGGGAAATCATGATTTTTTGGCAGTTGTCTCTGGGTAGTAAGATTCTAGGTATTTTCATTTTCTTCCTTATTCTTATAATCTTTTTAATTTTAATTAGTATGTTTTAATTTTATAATGGGAAAAAATCAGAAGAAAAAATGTAATTGAACCCAGGGAATATGGAATTGCAACCACATCTATTCCCAATAGTGATACTTAGACATTTAGTGAGTTTCTACTATATCCAAGTAATGAGTTCATTGCTGACAATGAAGAAAGGGTAAGATACAAAACAAATGAAACAAACACCCAGATTCTTGATTTCAAAGAACTTAGAAGATTCAGTTTATGTAAAATAAAAATTGGAAGAAAATGGAGGATGAAAAGATTATTAGAGTTTTCAAGGAAGAGAGGAAACAATATTTATTGAACAGGTACCATGTGCTATATTTTGAAATCTTTACATCAAGACTATAAGTTTGGTATTATTGGCCCTAGTTTACAGATGAAGACACTGAGTGAAATAACCTGTCCAGGGTCCACAACAAACAAGTTGGGGGGGGCGAGATCTGACTTCAGTTCTTTCTAATCCTGTCTAAGACACCTGTAGCCTATTACAAGAGGATGGTGTTGGGAGTAAAAGAACAGAGAAGGAAAGAGTTCCCTAACCCAGAGAAGTGTCGTGAATGACATGAGGGAAGAGAGATCTCGCCAGGTCAGAAGAGCTGGGTTAGGAACCCAGTTCACTGATACCTTTCTGAGCTACAGGGATGGATTTGAGAGAAGAATCAGTGTACATTTTTGACCAAAGGAATGAAATAATGAAAACAGTGAAAATTATCTTAGCAGTTGTTTTCAATGTTTAAATGTTTAGGAAGGTCACCACGTCCTCCAGAATTTCTTCTGCATCCTCCCCTTTAATATTGTCACTGCAGTAACTTAGCCCCCTCCCCGATCTCCTTGCCCTCCAAACTCTGGTTCTTGCCCCCCTTCTTCCCTCCTCAAGCCCCAGGCTACATCTGCATGATTTTTTTCCATGACCCTTAGCAAAAAAAATACTTCTTCTAGTAAGACTCAGTACATACTGTTGTGCACACGTGCACACACACACACACGTACAACTGAACCAAACTTATTTATCTTTTTTTTTTCCTAACTGAAATTATTTACCCTACCATTATTATTTGCATTGCACTCTGGTGTTTTTCATTCCCTTCTGCTCTATTTTATTGCCAACAAAAATAATGGCCAAGATGCACTAAATTGATTTTACTATCCACTAATGGATCAAATGGCGTATTTATTCATGCATATATTGTCTCATGGCCCACAAGGCATTTGTATTCACATTAACTCATTTTACTCCTACCAGGACTTGTAAAGTAGGTGGATATTTTCATGTGCCTTTTTGAAGATGATGATTCTGAGGCTTGGAGAGGTGACGTGACTCACCCACAAAGCACAGCTGACAGATGTTTGAGGGAAAGGTTGTTACTGTATGGATTGTAGATGGAAAGCAAGAGAGAGAAGGCCAATTACTTATAATCGCTTTGTTCAGTTGGCCTTTACTGAGCAATATACTGTGCTGTCTACCGTGCTAGGACTAGAGGACAAAGATGATAAGATACAGTCTCTGTCCTCCAGGAGCTCAGAGCGTTTGGGAAGAATCCTCAGGAAGTCTCAAAGAGGTACTAGTTTATAATTGAATTTTAATAATATGGTTTTTATTATATTAAGTGCTGGATCAGAGCAGGAGTGTCTGAGTGATAAAGAGGCAGAGTAATTAGGGCAGTTAGAAATTGAAGGCCGGAGGGCCGGCCCAGTGGTGCACTGGAGAGTGCGCTGCTTGTCTGAGTGATAAAGAGGCAGAGTAATTAGGGCAGTTAGAAATTGAAGGCCGGAGGGCCGGCCCGGTGGTGCACTGGAGAGTGCGCTGCTTGTGAGCGCGGCGGCGCTCCCACCGAGGGTTTGGATCCCATGTGGAGACCGGTTCCCGCTCACTGGCTGAGTGCGGTGCGGGTGCAACACCGAGGGTTGCGATCCCGTTGCCAGTCCCCAGTACGGGCGCTACACCAAGGGTTGCGATCCCGTTACCGGCCAGTAAAAAAGACAAAAAGGAAAAAAAAAAAAAGAAATTGAAGGCTGGGAAGGGGTGAGTACCAGGACCCTTGGTGTACAACTGGAGAAATATGCTTGTAGTTGGAGGTGAACACATGGAAGTCGTCGTGCTCCTGAGTTAGCAGGTTTATTGAGAGAGAAGAGAAAGGGAGACGGATGGAGACTGAAGCAAATGTTGCAGTTAAATGTGGAAAGAGGAGGTTTGCTGACAGAGGCCAAAAAACAGGCGAAACAAGCAGGAGGACACTACAGGGACGCGATTTTCACAATTTCAAAGAGAAGAAGAAAATATTATTTTAAATCATTAAAGTGTATATTTATCTGAACTCTTTT